GCAAGAAGCCTCCCACTGATATGGATGACTTGCGTCGGCGAGCCGACAAATACATGTAGATGGAAGAATTAGCTGAGTTCCGTAACCAAGCCCGGGCGGAGGTGGCGGCGAAACCTGATAAGCCGATACAAGCGATTTTTAAGTTTTTCATGATAATATATATTTTTATTAGGTTAATTTTTTTTAATCTTTATTATTTCATTTATTTTACTTTGTAGTTCGTATAATTTAAAATAGACAACGTTTTAACCTCTATATTTACATTTTGTAATTTTCTTAGTCACTACTAATAATTTATTTTTAACATTATTTTTATGTGAATGACATGAACTTATTAAATTATGTGATAATAATGTATTTAATTATTTAGATGATAATGTGTCATTTAATGATTTATATCAATAATTTAATTATTTATAAAAATCACATTCATTTATAATAAATATTGACTATTCATAAAACCATCTAAACTTTTCATGTTTTCTCTCTCCCTAATCATTAATTGAATAATTGTCATTTATAAAATCAAATAGATTACTGTTACTTAATTAGATTTAATAAATCTATATCACACACATAAAAATGATGTTATAGAAAAATTATTGATAGAAATTAAAAAAATTAAAAAATATAAATATAAAAACTAAAAAGTATATTTGAATACATAAAAAATAAAATAAATAAAACTATAGACTCATATAGAATTGAAAAAGATATTTTAATTGTTATACTATAATTTTTCTGAACTGATTTTAGTTTGATTGCTTCGATTTGTTATTCGTGTATAATAATTAGTTATTAAATAATATAACTTTAACCCACTACTGTCAAAATTAATTGTCGGACCTGAAATTTGTTTAAGCTTTATTTAACTTAAAAGTTGTGTTTTAATATTTTATTATTGATTATAAAACAAGTTTTATAAATACACATTGTTAATATAAAAATTCTCAACTAATTAAAAATTAATTTTAATATAATTTTTAATAATTATTATTAAAGTGAACAAATTTATTATGAGAATCTGTGATGTGATAATAACATATATAAAGTTGTTTTCAATGCACATTTATTTTATATAAAAATGTCACTTTAATAATAAAAGTAATATGATAATTCCTATATTTATTAATAAAAATGAAAAAAAATATGCAATTGAATGCAATTTTATAAGGTGAATAATTGGGTTAAACTTTAATTTTTACATATTATTAAGCAATATAAGGCGAACAGTTTACTTTAAAGAGAAAATAAGTAATTTTTTTTAAATTGCCGATTAATATTACACACACATAAAATACTTTATGAATGTATTAAAATATCATGTCAACTAAAATTATTTACTTTATTTTTAAGTCAAAATCCTTCTCCAACCCTAAAACTGGTCACAGCGTTCCTGACACCGAATGTCGTTTGTATTTCCTGGCTTTCAATGTCGTTTTCATTTTTATAATATTCATAGTTGTGGCGGCTTAAATATAATATTCGATAGTAATTTAGAGCACAAAGTTCAACAAAAATTCAAATTAATGTACCATCTGAAAAATGCAATTAATTAATACATAATGTCCGAGTCTTTGACTTGGACAGTGCCATATTCAGATGCATCATCTTCATTTTCCAAACTAGGGGGGTTCATTCAACTCAATTATTGCATGTACAGCATTATCTGATATTTGAAGTAAAACCAGCCTTGTGCTATCATAAGGGTTAAACCCAATCTCGTGGTTCTTTTTACCCCTTAGAGTAACATGGGGGTTGCCAATTTCTTTGCCTTCTTATTTATTGCTCTAAGTTGCTTCCAGTTGCTCAGAATTTCTGAATCAAAATTACCCCAAGAAGAAGGTAACTTTAAATTCATCTTTCCACATGTGAATCATTAAGGCTGCTGAAATTACTAGCTCAGGATATTTCAGTAACTTCTTGTTGTAGTTTGATGTGAAAAGATGTTTTTCATTTTCAGGAGAATTTAATTTAGAAACTCCTCTATATGAAATAACAGACATTAGATTACAAACAGTTAAGCTCTTTACTCATGATTTAAAACTAGTATTCAATAAAAGTTTATAGCTGAAATTACTAGTTCATGGATGTTTTCAAGTTGATATCATATTCACATTCCAACTACACGTTTACAATTATAATGCTTACGTCTCAATGATTATGATTGTTATTTAGTTGATGCCCTTCAAGAAATTATCAGCACGATGGGTTCGGCCTATTGGAAGTTTGATGCTGATTCCTGCAAAATTGAAATGGTTGGACTAACTCGTGAACCACCAACTGAATCAGAGATAAGCATTGATTGTGATTGCAGTTTTGATACGGTCTGTCATGTTGTGAAGATGTATGTATGACTACCAAATTATTTCATATCTCTTTTCTGAAGTTCTTGGGCTATGTGTTTTTTTGGTGTTGTCTCTTAAATTTCCTGATTCAGTTATCTAAATCCACAAATAAATAAGTAATGTCAACATAAATTTGCAAGAGGTGTATGAGCAACTTAATGAATCCCCTTTAAGATTGATGAACTGTTTCTGTGTTTTAGGACTCTCAAACGCCTTAGTCTACGTGGCATACTCCCACCTCAACTGGCTAAGCTACCTTTTCTCCAAGAAGTGTATGAGCTACTTAAATACGTTACTTATAGTTTCTTATTGAAAAAAATTGTAATGAGTTTTCACAAATTGATTTGGTTTCTTTCCTGATATAACCATTTTAAATAGTTCAGTGACTCTTTGATCTTAGAATTTCCAAAAAATTTCCTTATATGGACAGAGATTTTGCATACAATTGCTTCACTGGTTCTATTCCAAAGGAATGGGCTTCAATGAAATTAGCTTCAATGTGAGTCTCAATCTTTTCCAACTACTGCAAGCATTTCATTGTATCGTTCTTAATTTATATTAATTACATTACATATTACATATAATACAACTCTATGCAGCTCTCTTGTTGTGAACCGCTTATCTGGGGAAATTCCAAAGCATCTAGGAAATATTACAACTCTCACATACCTGTATGTTTCAAGTTTTAATTTAATTCATAGGATAGGTACACTTTGATAATGTTATTGTGGTAGTATGTTATTTGTCATCGTTACTGAAACTTTTGCATTTGTCTAATCAAAACTCCAATTAGGATGCTTGAAGCAAACCAATTTTCTGGTGTTGTTCCACCTGATCTTGGGAGACTAATAAACTTGCAGACCTTGTGAGACATCCCAGTTCCTTCTTCTTTTCATTTTTGAATAAGATTATTTGATTTTTTTTTAACTGTCCCTCTGTAAGATATCATATTTTCTGCAATTTTAACACTGAAGGGTGCTGTCATCCAATCAATTGATAGGGAACTTACCACTTTCACTTGCTGGACTACAAAATTTGACTGACTTGTGAGCTATGATTTTGTTCATTCTCCTTAAAACCCAACTAGTTAACTTCTAACACTGTCATCTCATGCATAGAATTTATTGTCACATTGCAGTAGAATAAATAATAACAATTTTACCGGAACCATACCTAATTTCATACAGAACTGGCCACTTCTTCAAAGACTGTGAGATTCTAATCCCTTTCTTTGTTAAATGATTTGATGGTTCATTCGGACAATATTAAATCCTATATAATTTTCCAACTCCTTACTCTTATCAATGTAAAATCTATAAAGAGAAATGCAAGCAAGTGGACTCGAGGGACCCTTTCCATCAAATATCTCTCTCTTAGGGAACTTAGCTCAGTTGTGAGTATATCTTTCTTTTTAGTTCTACTTATTATGATACATTTTACACTTCGATATTGTCTATTATATTTGTATTCTAGCTCATGGTAGCGCATATTTATACAGAAGAATCAGTGATATAAATAGTCCTAGACAGGACTTTCCTTTTCTGGGGAACATGGCAAGCTTGACTACATTGTACGTAGACTGCTACTAGTGATAATATTTTCTCATATTTTAGTTTCTGAAATGTGAAAATTTATTCTTTAAACTTTTAGTCTGAAGTTTAACATAATTCTGTTTTGTGTTTAAGGGTTTTAAGGAATTGTAACTTATCTGGTGCGATACCTCCATACATCTGGACGATGATGAATTTGGTAATTTTGTAAGTAAGCGTGTGAAGATTCTGTGCCTAAAACATGTTTATTTTGTATCTCTGTATTAGTAAGAATAGGCTACTTTAATTTATCTTCCCTGACAACTGATGGTGGAGAAAAGCTTTTTGCTGCCCAATGCATAAAAAAAAAAAGAAGATAAAATTACATGCCTAATTTTATGGCATCGTTTTGCACAATGTGATCATGTAAATAATGCTTTCTTTTGGATTTATTTCTATGAAAGTCCCCTTTATGTTGAGATATCATCATACAATTGGTTTGATGGTGCTAAGTGCTAACTTGTTTTCAACTATGAAAATACTTGAGAGATAAATATTTAAGGTAGACTAGCGAGAAAAGACTGAAGTTACACCTATGAGTATATGCTCTCATAAATACTGACATGTCAACAATTTTAACATGAGTGCAGAAGTGAGCAGTGAGGGTACCAACAGTGACATTCCAGAGCCCAAGTTAGTATTGTGAACTAGGAGTTGGTGTTTTAGGGAGTAGGTCTCTACCTACAATGGTTTTTGTCATTATGTTGGCAGTGAAAACAGGCTGATTCTTGTCCAGGTTCATAGTCAAATCCTTGTCTTGTGAGATCAGAAGGGCAACTTCCCACATAACTTCCGGAGGAATGTTTGATAGGGAACCTCTCTCCTGTAATGGTCAGAGGATTCCGTAGTCCTCTCTCTTGGTAAGGGCTGAGGTGATTGGCCTTTTGTGTGATGGGCTTTCTTGCTCTGGGAGCCTAATCCAAGGTTCAAGTTAGGAGCATATATAATAAATCATAACTATATTAAAAGTAAAAACAAATTAAAAGATTTTGTTCTAACTGAATTCTAAACAATGCATATTTAAATCCAATTTGAACATGTGGAAGTCAGTAGCAAAAAGGCAAATACAATGTAAATATCAGTATGAGAATGGGCTAAGTAATTATGGTAACAACTTAATCTGAAGTTGAGTAACTTTACCAGAATATATGTTAGTGTAAATCTCTGTGGTTCATCATGCCTTAAAGGTTCAGAATATGTATTTTCTACATACATAAACAACAAACCTATACATCACTAGGGTCTGTCTAGGGGTGTTGAGTAGTTTATACAAGGACCCAGGTTTTATACCTATTGCCGGTATTGTACACACAAAAGAGAAGAAAAGAAAAACCTTTTTTCAGGAGACATAAGAAAAAAGTTATGAATCCCAAATCATATTAAGCTGTATCTGTATGAATTAGCACTGTGCTTGTCATTGACTTCCTTTAACTTGTTCTACAATCTGCCTGTATTAATATATGATTGCATGTTGCTGGTAAAATAGCATTGCCTTATTAAAATTGAAATTATTTGTTTTCAAAAAATTTATGACAGGGATGTCAGTTTTAACATGCTCGTCGGGGAAATTCCAACAATCATAAGTGCAAGGCGTATAAGATTTATGTAAGCATCTTACTCTAAATTGTAGATTGACACTTGAAGTTTGACTCAAAAGTCAAAACAAAAGAGATAAGAATTTATGCAAATAGCACGATTATGTCTATGAAAGCATATAGTTCTGCTGTAGTGAGAAAATGTTCAACCAATTTTCATGATTCCAGAACCGTGCAGTGAACGTTGTTCTTTATAATGAAAGTGAACAAATGCTTTTTATGCTTAAGTATTAATATAATAAATTAACAGTTTTGCATTGCTTTTGTTTAGCTACCTGACAGGTAATATGCTTAGTGGCAATATACCAAATTCAATCCTGAAGGATGGAAGTAGCATGTAAGTTTCTTTGTGGTTCAAACTTTTTTATCTTAACTATTTTACTGCAAGCGAGGTTTCAGTCTCGTAGATTTAGAATGTTTAGTATAACCCAATAGATTTGTTAATCATTGATTATGTGGTTCACTGCAGCAGAACTGATTCGAAATAAAGGAACAAAATGAAATTATTTTCTTAGCAATAGCAATTGCCGAATATAGACACTTCCGAGTTGGTTCATCTTTGTTCTAGATGTAATTCAAACTTTAAAGTTAGATGTGATTTGCTAAATCTATTTAATATAAGGATATAGAAAGGTAACCACTCCCACTCAAATTCTCTTTAGAGAGAAACCCAAACTCAATCATCATATCTCTTTAAAAAATAAAACCAGAAGAAATTTGGTATTTGTGATGTGGAGTTGTTAGGCTTTTAAGCACAAAGGAACCAAACTAATTGAAGTTTCCATTTTGAGTTGTGCCACTAAGGGTATATGGCTTACATTCCTTTTAACTCTTTCTTATTGTATCGTTCCACTAATCAATGCCAGTGGAATCAGAGCAGAGAAGTACATGTATAGTATAACCCAGTGAAGTGGAAGGAGAAAGAGAAGTGAATATTTTATTGATGTAATCTGAATATACATTAGTGAAAAAAGGGGGAAATATAAAGGCAGCAAATAAAAAACTAAACTACCTTCAAGGAGAGTAAAAAATAAGAAAAAAACTAAAAGGACTTGTTATGTAACAGATTCTTATTTCTTTAGCATATTAGACATCTGTTAGTGATGTCATTTTTTGTGCGTGTACAAATGAATTTCCTAAATTTAGGGAAGTTATCTTATAAGTACAAAACCATGCTATTGAATCTCCTCCAAGGATATCAGTAAAACACCAAATGGTAAATATTGTCTCTTCTACTGCATTTCTTCTCCTCTTTTCCTTTTTGCTATTTTATATATTAGTTTTGGGAAGGATTGAAAGAGGGTGGATATCCATAATGGCACTTTTATATTTTGTGGAACACTAGAAGATATTTATCAGTAACAGGTCTTGAATGTTTTAAATTTCATTTTATATTTGCAGAACATATTTATACACACCTTTGGATTTCAATTTATGGTTTATTTCTGACAGAAGTTCCTTGTTGTGTTGGACACAGTGATCTTTCATACAACAACTTTACTTGGCAAGACAATGAGCAACCTGCTTGTCAGGACGGCATGTCAGAATCTGAAATCATGTTCCATACTATTTCCTTTATATTTCCAAGTTTGATATTTTTCTATACTGAAATTTTTTTAATATTTTTTCACTTAGTAGGAACTTGAATCTGAATTTGTTCAGAAGCTCGATTAAGGAGAATAAGTTGTAAGATTCCCTTTTCTATTTTTGGTCAGACAAGCAGCCAATTGAAAAATGATTTATTTGCAAGAATTTAATTGACATGTAGGACATATAAGTATTTGCTAGTAACGACTATTATTATGACATTATTTATTTCTACTTTAATTAGTGTGAAAAAAATATACTAATTAATTAGTGGATATCAGTATAAAATTTCTTAGGAAATGCAAACTATATATCCATTGACACTATCTTTCTAATGCATAATTTAATACTGGATGAATTTTATCAAGTCTCACTAAATTTTTTTTAAAGGAGAATGTGCTGAATTGTTTTTTGTCAAAGTGTATGTTGCTAATAGTCTTCAAACTTCCATATGCTCACAGTGTATACTAATTATACTGTATTTGAAAATGATTAGTAAATTTTAATTTGCTATTGACAGAGAGGAGTATGTTCCTTGCTCCAAGAGTTTCACCTGTCCACGGTGTAAGTCTATATTATTCTGATTTCTGAACTATCAATGTCATGGATGCTTGCAGTTCAGTTTTTGTTTTTTATTGTCAGCACCTACTGACTATGTTTCATAATATATTTCATTTAACGTAGTTATTTAATAATTAAAAATTATTAAATATTCAGTTATAGAAAATGTTGTTGTAGTTGACTAAATTATACTCTATTAAAATATTAAAATATTATCACTCCCGAAGAGATCTGAATAAAATTAACAGAATAATGCCTTAATTTTATAAAATAAAAATAAATTTAAATTATTTTTCAAAAAAATGATATATTTTAAAATAAATCCTAGTAAGCCTGAGATGGAATGGGAAATTAAGATGCGAGACTTAATACATAAAGCATTTTTCATTGCCTTTCTTAGAAAAATGACCATGAATCAGAAGGATAAAGCATAAAGATTCTTCCACATTAGATGTTCACCTTATACTTGCACTATATAGTTGAATCAAAATGTACACAAGCGGAAAATGTTAATCAAATGATGAAAGTTATAACATGTGAGGTGATATGTCTGTCAACGTGTATACGCACCAATATTCAAATCAAAATAAATGCATAATAGGAAATTGGTGCTTTGTTTTCTATGACCCTGTCATAGTAAATTGCATATGACACTTTGTGCTGTAAGGAATAGTTAAATAAAATTTTGTGTTCACAATCTCACTCACACTGTCTTAATTTCTTAATCAACTGTCAGATTCAAGTTGCTTGCACGTTAATTGTGGCGGGAAGGATCTAAATGTAAAAGATGACAAAGGAGAAAACCTTTATGTGGGAGATATAGATGTTCCAGGTGGCACTGCAACTTATTTCTATAGTGACAATGATAACTGGGGATTTAGTAGCACTGGAGACTTCATGGATGATTATGAAGCCCAGAACATACGTTACACTGTATCTTTACCATCTTCAAATATGCCTGAACTATATAAAACAGCACGTGTATCTCCAATTACCCTTACTTATTTCCATAATTGCATGGAAAATGGGAACTATACCGTAAATCTCCACTTTGCTGAGATACAGTTTACAAATGATAAAACATACAAAAGTCTTGGGACGCGCATATTTGATATCTATGTTCAGGTAACTGGTCAAACTAATGAATTTTGCTTGAGTTTCCAGATCATGAATTAATGAATTGACTTTGTTTCAGGGAAAACTGATTCGCAAAAATTTTAATATTGAGAATGAGACGAATGTTGCTGAAAAACCATTAGTACTGCCTTTATACAATATCAGCATCACAAATAATGTCTTGGAGATTCGGTTCTACTGGGCTGGAAAAGGAACAACTAGAATTCCTGATGCTGGAGTTTATGGTCCCCTTGTATCAGCTATTTCTGTGGTTTCAAGTGAGTACAACATCATGGCAAAATGGGTGTAAATTTATTGTATTTAAATTTGAAGGGTTTCAATATCACTTTGTAGTGTCTAACAAGACGACAACATTTCTATAGCATACAACAGCTACTATTAAAAACATAATGCACTTGAAGAAAAAGAACCTCGTGAAATAGTAGTTCTACTCTCATATTTTTCTATTTGGTATGCTCTTTTTTATTTCTTAAATAACATTCTCTTCATATGCTTTTCTTGATCTTTTTAGTAAGATCAAATGCAGTGTCGAATTCTTGCCACTTTTTAGGTAGCATTTCTAAAAATGTTAATTGAAGAAAACATTTTGTAGTTTTGACGCTAATCCTTATGATGGCTGGTGCTGTATAAAATTCAGTGTGATACTTTGCTGTGATTTGAACAGATTCTAGAGTTTGCTCAAGTGGAGAAAAAAAGGTTTCTGTTTCTATAATCATTGCAATTGTAGCTGGTGCTCTATGCTTAGTGCTATTTATATCTGGATTCATTTGGTGGAAGTGGAAAGGCTTTTTCAGAGGGAAGCTACAGAGGAATGAAGGTGAAGTCATTTTCTTATACTTTAAAGGCTGTATAATGCCAAGTTTCAATTGGGAGTGAGAATAAAAGTTTGCGCAACCAAATTTTATTTCGTTTTCAACCAATATATTTCTGCTGAGCTGTTGAGATTTGAGGCTTTGTTTATAGTTGGAGCTTAGATAACTGCTGGTTAATACATTCTTTTGGCTTACTTGGACAGGGACAAAAGATGGAGATACTCAGGCAGGTAATTTTAGCTTGGAGCAGATCAGAGCTGCCACTAATGACTTCTCTTCTGCTAATAAGATTGGGGAAGGCGGTTTTGGTCCTGTATACAAGGTTTTCGGATAACTTCTAAATAATTTTATTTCATTGAAATGGAATTTTCTGCTTATGTCTGGCATGTTAGCTTTATGGTAACTTGGATGCAGGGTCAATTGCTAGATGGTACTTTCATAGCAGTCAAGCAACTGTCATCAAAATCACGGCAGGGAAATCGAGAATTTATAAATGAAATAGGCTTGATATCTTGTGTGCAACATCCCAACCTTGTAAAGCTGCATGGATACTGTGCTGAAGGGGAACAACTTTTGTTGGTATATGAGTACTTGGAAAATAACAGTCTTGCCCGAGCTTTATTTGGTGAGTCATGACTTGTACATGAATTTCTTGATATCTCATCTGAGAAGTGGTCATATGCGAGAACCTCAAAATGAAAAATATGTTCTTGATAACAACTTCACAAGATTAGAATAGGCTTTTTTGTCGTCTTCTTCTTCTTCTTTTTTTATTTTTTACAAATATTGCTCTATGCCTAAATTATTTCCCCTATAATCCTCTAAAATGAATTGCAACAATATGTTCATGCCCAGGAATTATTTGTTTTTGGTCGTTACTCAAAAGGCCTCTCAATCATTGAAATATATTTGTACTATATAAGTTGTTATTTCTTGTTTTATTTTATCGATGTGGGACTTGTTTGTATCTCAACAGGTTTTAAATAATATTTGATTGAAATGACAGCTGTAATGGCCTTTGATGTTTTTAGGTAGAGAAAACTATCAGCTTAAATTGGACTGGCCCACAAGATTTAGGATTTGCATTGGTATAGCAAAAGGTTTAGCATTTCTTCACGATGAGTCAAGATTCAAGATAGTGCACAGAGATATCAAGGCTTCTAATGTGTTACTCGATAGCAAATTGATTCCAAAGATATCTGACTTTGGCTTGGCGAAGCTAGATGAAACAGAGAAGACCCATATCAGCACCCGAGTAGCTGGGACTATGTAAGTTGCCTTTGAACTAATCAGACATATATGATGTATCTCCAAATGATACTTGGTAGCTAAATTTCCTTCTCTCTCTCTTTATTATTTTTTTTCTTTGTAGAGGATATATGGCACCAGAATATGCCTTATGGGGCTACCTTACACCCAAGGCTGATGTTTACAGTTTTGGAGTGGTGGCATTAGAAGTTATTAGTGGGAAGAGCAATAACAATTATTTACCAGATGATGGAAGTGTTTGTCTTTTGGATTTGGTATGCTCAAAGCTCCTAGCTGTGTTTTTCAATTACAAAGCCTTCATTCTTGTTTATTGCTTATTTAAAGTCACTTAATTCTTAAAAGACAAGAACAATGATTCATATTTGCAGGCATGTCACTTAAATCAAGCTCAGAACTTGGTGGGGCTGATTGATGAAAGGTTGGGATCAGATCTTAACAAAAAGGAAGTAGAAAAGGTGGTCAAAGTAGCCCTCCTGTGCACAAATGCTTCTCCATCACTTAGGCCTACAATGTCTGAGGTGGTGAATATGCTTGAAGGACACACAGATATTCCTGATACAATCCCAGATCCAAGTACCTACAATGACGATTTAAGGTTTAAAGCCTTAAGAGACCTACATCAATATCGGTCAAATCAGAGTTTGGGTGGAAATCAGAGCCAGGATTCAATGACACATACATTCAGCTCAGCATCTGGTGGTAATACTCACACTACAAGTTATATTGAGGATCATAGTTCAGTTGACAATAATTAGGTTTCCCCTTTCAACAACTTGAAATAAGCACTTTGCCATATAGCACTGGTAGTTCTAGATCTTAGACGTTGAAAATTTTAACCATGAACAGCCATACTAAACAAGATGCACTGTTCACATGCATGGAACCTCCGATTTCCACTTGTTTCATTTTGTGCTTTCAACAGACGGTCTCTGCAAAGAAGTATGACAAGATTTTTCATTTCTTCCTTTTGTTACCTTTCTTTGTTTTTTGTTTCCTTTATGTTTTTCTGTATAAATATACTCCGGCAAACAAAGCCAACTCTGATTCATAAATTTAGGTTATATCTTTATTCATTTGTATGTGTATTCATACGAAGGAAAGCTCAATTCATACCTGATGTTAAATACTATGGTGAATTATAGTGTATATTTTAAATGGACAAAAATTGTTTTCGACTCCCCAACTGGCCTAACTAAATTGAATTATGCTTTTCCTTCCTTTGAATTTTCCCATCAAATAGGTTCATGCCTAACCTATAGTTGTTTTATTATGTAAATACACTATTTTTGTTTTGTTAGTGTCAATTACCTGGTTAAATATAACTTTTAGTAGTTTTTCAATACTTCACTACCAAACGTGAATAAAATACTAGCTAGACAAGGATTTTTTTTTGTGCTACAACATTACGTTGAATTTCAATTGTAGGAGAAGGGGGGAAAAGAGTACAACACTACACCATGTACGGAGGAAATCAACCGTGCTTCAATATAATTTATCACGAAATGGGTGAAAGGGTTAACTTGTAAGCATTTGGAAGTTGGAATCATTTAATTCATAGGTATTATCTGTATGGTATATAAGATTCTTTCAAGTAACTTATGTGTCTAATTAAGCTAAAAGAAGATAACGAACACCCTCGTTTTCATTCCGCAAACTTTTCAAATGCAAGAAAATTGTAATTCATGTGGGAGGCAGATCAACTGCATGAATCTATAAATTTGTTGAAACAAATTTATGAAAGGCTGGGTTCTGAGGTTGACCAAAACAGAAGTAGGAAAGACTCACAATGTGCCTGCTTTAACACAATGTATCCTTATAATTCAGGCCTCCAATGCCCGAGTGTGAATATTCTTGGAAGACAAACAGCAAGAAAAGAAGCAATGCAACATTAAGGAGTCCAAGTTAGTCATTTTGCAGGAAAGCAGTAGAGGTTTTCAAAGAACAAGGATAAAAGACACAAACAATTTATACTAACACAAATATAACAAGTGCCTTGATATTTGGAGTTCACAAAATGAGGTAAACACAAATATAACAACACAAGTTATACTGACATTACAAACACAAATATAAAAGCAACCTATGCAGATCCTAGTGGTCTAATACTAGGAATAATAAGATTTACGGGACTAGGAAAGGGACTTAAAACCTTAAACAGTTGCAGCAGAATTAACAACACACAAACATGAAGAAAGGCAGACTCTGAACTCTAACCACCATAGCTAGAAATTTGTCCATTATGTTAGCCACGACTTCCTTGCTTTCTCTGAAGACTTCAATGCTCTTACTGAGCTTGGCCCGCTTCACTGCAACTGAAGGAGTTTCCTCCAACAACTTCTCAATTCCACCTCCAAATGTAGATAACGTATCTGTTGGAATTCAAGAAGAATTAGAAGGCTTAAACTCATATATTTTATTCATACTTGTAACCTTTTAAATACATAATTGAAAGTTGATATAAATTCTGCTCATAAACATAAAATTAAATGACAAATATAAATACTCATAAAAGTGTAACAACACCTATAATTCCTATAATTAAAAAATCATAACCGTAGGAATTCTAATAATGCTCCATTAATATGAAATAAACTCAAATAATAGATGCTGATTCAGATTCTCAACACTCTTCCTTGAATCAGTAGCTATTAACTCGAAGTTTCCCTCTCAAGTTCTCAAACTTTCCTTTTGGAAGTGCCTTTGTGAAGATGTCTGCCAATTGATCTTCTGTTATTCAATCTAACTCTTCCTGTCTTTGAATACCATTTATTGGAATTTGTCATATCAAATACATCTTGCTTAAAAGTGTGACCAAATCTTTCATGCCAAACATTACTCTTATCAATTTTAGCAATAAAATCATGATCTTCAATCAAATCAAATTTCAAATAAAAACCGTTTTTGGTCATCTCAATCTTTGCAATCTCTAAACCATGTTCATCCATGATAAAACAATAATTCTCTTTAAAAGAGACTCCATAACCATTCCTTAGCATTTGTGGAACACTAAGAACATTTTGATCCAATTTTGGAATGTAGAGAACATCTTTAACAATTATCATACCTTTCTTGGTTGCAATAGAAATTGTACCTTTTCCATTGGCTTGTACAATTTCACCATTTCCCATCTTGACTTTTGGCTTAATTGATTTGTCAATGGAGGTAAAAAATGATAAATATTTAGTCATGTGACTAGTGCAACCACTGTCAATGAGCCAAGTATTCAATTCATGTGAATTGAATTCTTGAGATGCCATAAATAAATACTCATCTTCATCATCATTTTTTTCTTCAACCACATTTGCCTGTTTTTCTAGTTGTTGTTCAGGCTGATTCTTCTTTAATCTGCAATACTTTTCACTATGACCATTTTTATTGCAAAAATTACAGTGAAAAAGTGGTTTATCTTTAAACCAACAATCTTCTTTAGAATGGTTGGTTCTTTGACAATGAAAACAAGGCAAAAAATTTCCTTTTCTCGAAGAACCTTCATCTTTTCCTTTGTTCTTATTGAAAGTTCGTGACTTTCCAAAATTCCTTCCATTGTGCTTTGCTCGAAAGGCACCTTCAACAGCTTCATCACTTCTAATGGAGACTCTTTGCTCTTGTGCGTGAAGTTTGCTGGTCAATTCAGTAATTGTGAGAGTTTGCAAATCACAAGACTCTTCAATTGCAGAAATCTTGGCTTCAAATCTTTCAGGCACCGAAACCATGATTTTCTCGACAACCTTTTGATCTATAAATGATGTTTCACCAAGAAGTCGCATTTGGTTCACAACATCCATTAATCTGCCAGAATAATCTTTGACAGATTCATTATCCTTCATCTTCATCAATTCAAATTCTCTCTTCAATGTGAGAAGTCTAACAAAAAGTTTAACAGATTTGACTCTGCTACTGCCTTCAAATTCATCTTGAATCTTGTCCCACACCTGTTTAGGTGTTTCCAAATCCATGATTTTAGTAAAAATATGATCTGCAAGTCTTGCATGTAGACAAGTGATGGCTTTATCTTTCTTCAGCTTCTCCTCCTCATAAGCTTTGATTTGTGCAATGGTTGGATTTTCTCTCAATGGTGGTGGATCAGCTTCAGAAATTACAACATTCCATAAGCCTTGAGATCTTAAAACAAATTTCATCTTGACGGCCCAAATATGATAATTTTCACCATTAAACATTGGAATTGCAGGTGAATTGGTGGAAGTAGACATCCTTGCACCAAAAATTGTTTAAACAATAAATCACTCAATTTTGTGTTTGCACTCAACCTCAATGTGTTTAGCGCTCAATAAACTTTTCCTCACAGCCCGTAAGAAGCAAGCTCTTGATACCACTTGTTGGAATTCAAGAAGAATTAGAAGGCTTAAACTCATATATTTTATTCATACTTGTAACCTTTTAAATACATAATTGAAAGTTGATACAAATAAACATAAAATAAATGGCAAATATTAATACTCCTAAAAATGTAACCACAACCATAATTTCTATAATTAAAAAATCATAACCGTAGGAATTCTAATAATGCTCCATTAATATGAAATAAACTCAAATATTAGATGCTGATTCAGATTCTCAACGGTATCAACCTCATCTCCCATATCCTTGTCGACGAGGTTGAAAATGCTGAATTGCAGATGCAGGGCAGGGATGTCAATCAGCCTCCGAAGCACAATCTTCCAGTATGATGTTACTCTCATTTTCAAGTCAAAAGCTTGCGGAAGTAAAGTTGGGTACTGCCTCAGATGAATAACCTTAACTTCCCCAAAACCTTCAAGAACTACAGGATAATACATGCGATTAACTTTGTCCACGAACCGATGCTGGTTGGCCATTAACTTATTATACTCACATGTGTATTCAGGATTGCAAGTATAATCAGTTATCTTCTCCATTTGCACAACCTGCATCACATATTTCATAGAATTCTCCTTAATCTTAGCAATACGGCTCTTCACTGCTCATCGAGCACATGTCTGAAGTTGGTGGTAGTGATCTGAGTGACGCATCAGAACATCAACCACCACTTCCTCAAGATAGTTCCACACCATGTCAGTGAACACAATTGGCATGCTTGAAATTGCTTTCACTTTATTCTGTAAGAGAGTAAGAAAAGCAGTGCGTGGCATGAAGTTTGGGGGTCCAATCCACTTAGCTTCTTCTAGCACCTCTATTTCTTCCATCAAAAAGTACACTCACCAACATCACTCAGGACCCTTGTGAAGATCATTTGTGTACTGATTCAGCATATCAACAAGGCGTGCAGTGCAATGCATGTGGTTGTCATCATCAAATTCTCCTCTCAGAAGACTCTTCCTGAGTGACTCCTTTGCCAAGTCAATGATATGCATGAATGTAGACATGGCATCAGCCACAGAAGTAAGGTTCTTGGGCAATTTGTCCAGCTCAGAAAGATGAGAACCGAGCCTATCATTGATCTTCTTAACAATCTCTGACAGTATTTTGGAAATGCTAGCCACTTGAAGTTGAACCAGCTTCTGTGCCAAAACTGAAACCCCCACAATGGACTTGTCCTGAATACTTTTGCTTCTTCTGCACGTGCATCTTCATAGGACTCGTCCCCAATGCACTAAAACCTTTACTAAGTTCATTTTTTTTTCATCTTCTGAAATAATTTTGAATCTATCAAAATACTTCTTTCATTATAATATAGTTTACATCTTTTTCAAAAAATTTGTAAATATTCTATAGCATTAATATCAATCTTTTTTCTTTCCATTATTTCATACATGACATAACTAATATAAATGTAAGAATCTACTGGCAAGATGTCCAAATAATCATACCTATTTGAATATTCTTTAAATATAGTTCCTTCTTAGTTCTTACTCATTGTGGGTTTTGTTAGTTGACCAGAGTAAAATGTAAAGTAACTAATAACAAGGTCATAATTTTATTAATAAGTGAAATGAGTACAAAATGGATTCATTCTATAAAAAAAATTCCATAACTCTCCTAAGGAGACCGGCACACTTTTTTCTTTAGGGGAGATTTTTCAAATGAGAATTTTCTAATAAAAAACTCTACCTTATCTGAGCATAAGAGGGCTTGTTTATATAGTCCTAAAGAATTTAGGTTTTTTTTACATAAATATTCTTACATT